TGTGCAGGTGTTAGAAGCTAGACTGATACATTTACAAAGTTATATAGGCAGTTCCCTGGCAGGGCTCTTAACACATGCTTGCAGCAGAATGCAGCAGGTGCTTCCAATGGCATCCTGATTTGTCTGCAGGCAGATTAGACAAACCTGGCTATTTAATGAGCATTCATTCTGACCTATTTGCAGGGAGGTTAGGTGATGTTGTGTCAAAGCAAGTGTTACCTGACACTCTCTGGGACATTTTCTCATCACTTTCCTTAACGCAAGCGGGCTTATATTTTGGGGAAGCAGGGTTTTTGTGTGTGCCAGAGCTCCCAAACAGCTGTAATCCCACAACCTGGATTTGGGAGTCCCACCTGAAAGCAGCAACAGCATGGAAGTGCCCTACAACCGAAGGAAGAGAGGGAGGGGGTTAAATCTGGAGGATGGGGAAGTCCTCAAAGGAACCATGCACAATTAATTCACTGCCTTTCCCTGGATACAAGACAACACTTCTGCTGCATTTTTCAAACGTAAATGGCAGAGGTAAAACGAAACTATTTCAGATACCTCAAATGAACTTCCATAGGGGTGGTGGTGGTGGTGATTATAGACAAGAACACCTTGCCACATATGGGTGGACATTGCCCCCTTTCATCAAACACACCAACATAATGCATTTCAGGCTATTGCTCTCCAACTGCTGGCTTTCCACCCTTAAAGGGATTAAAAGAGAAAATAATCAAATGTCTCTGCGTTCCACAATCTCAGTTCTGCAAGAAGAAAAAGCAGAATTCTGCAAGCTGCATACATTAGACTTTAGCAGATTTGCATGGCTCTTCTTATATTGCAAAATGTATCCTGCAAATTTACTATTCTGCATATCCCCCGTCCAATTCTCATAGTCATGGAGAAAGGCAAAGAGTTCTGGAATGTACCAGCTCCACCAATGAGAGAGATGGATAAATCTGTGTTTCTCTCTGTTTGCCATTCTTTTCAGCTTTAAGTTCAGTTCTTCCTATTTCCACATCAGCTTCCTTTAATTTCTTTCTGCATGAAAGTGAACGGTAACACAGGACAGATCTGAGTTAATTTAAGCTACACATACTTAGGCATTAGTTCAGCTGAGGGTGAGGACTGAGCTTATGTGGACTAGGACCATGCGCTCACAGAGTATCCCCACCGAAGGTGGCTGTTAGTTAGACCCTAGAGACGATGACCCGTGTTTGTCAATCAATCCCCGTCCACATCAGCTTCTGCAGAAGAACTGGAGTATGCATCTTGAGGCTGGGGAAAAAACACCAATCAATAGCATTTTTTTCTTGGGCTGTTGTGCCATTTGCCACTTAAGGCCACAGGGAGTTTTCAAAAAGCGAAATGCAGTCACTGCACAAATTGTCAAGCCTGGAGTACCCCTGCAGTTCTTTTACACACAGAGAAAAAAATATCTCTGCAATGAAGAGATACTTAAGAATGGAAGTTTCTCGCTGAAACTGAGGAAGCTCAGAGATGCACTTGTTAAAAGGATTTATTTATTTTTTGTAGCTAAGCAGAAAAATGAAGGCTTTGGATAATGATTTTTACAAGTGGCAAGCTTTGGGTACTGAGCACCAAGGAAATTGCAGGCTTCATGGCAGAGCCAGGTGGGATTTATTAGAAGTTTTGCAAGAGGTTCCCTGTACTGTTTCCCCATTTTTGATTCAGAAACTCCCTGATGGTTCAAGTGTTAATTTACATGTCTTAACATGTAAAGATGTGCTCTTAAAATCGCTGACCCCTCCAGTGATCTCTTCAAAGGTTCTTTCTTAATTTATGATCCGAGCACCCAATTCTGTGCAGGATTACTCAGAAGAAAGTCATGCAATGTTCAGTGGTGCCCGCTCTTCAGTTACTGTGCCCAGAATTTGCAGGGATTGTGGGGAATTCAAACTCGGGCCAAACGACCCACAAATCCAAAATGAAGTCGTGCAAAATACGGTGCTTCAGATCCTGTGATGCTCACTCCAAAAATGCAATGCTGGTTCCATCTCATATGCACCTCCTCATGAGGAACATGTGTGTGAGTTTGTGCAGGCCTTTATAACCATCTGCACAAACTCTCTGCAGTTCCAAAGAGAAATAGAGAGCGCTAGGGTGGTAGCCACATGTAGCAAAGTAGTTCTGGAATTACTTCTACCCCTTGGGAAGTTTCCTAAAAGCACATTACCCTGTTTTTTTTGACACTGGTGCACTTAACCTACAGCAGCACCCCAAGTTAGGAGAAGGGTTGCAGTTGAGTGTTGGAATATTATTATTATTTGTCAGGGAACTGCCATTGGCTCAGAGGCGAGAAACAGAAGGGCAGTTGTGTTACAGGGAGCCTCCGAAAATCTTGCGAAGCAGTTCCTCTTCTGGGGAGGAGGAAAGCCCCACCTCTAGTGGGGAAGAGGTGCAAGGACCAGAGGATGCTGGTGGGAGCCTTAACACCACTCCTGGGCAAGCCGGACAGGAGGGAAACACACCCTTGCCATCGCCCATCCTGCGCAGTAGCCTAAGGCGCAAAGAGGGAAGGAGAAGGTTGGGGGTAATGAAACTCTTATGTTGGCGGAGGTCCAACGGAAGACCACTCCTGGATTCTGCTAGCGATTGAGCCAGACATGAGCTTTGGGGCTCTTCACTGTAAATAGTTTGCACCAATATAAAGCCTGTAAGACACAGGTTGGAGTCCTGCCTGGTTACTCTCGAGCAACCGCAACAGCCATCTGACATTATTAGTTGTCAGGGGTTCAGGGACAGAGGCACAGGGTAGGCAGGAGATGGAGAGCGATGGGGATGAATCCCAGGACAGCGAGGAAGAGGATGACAATGACTCAAGAGATTCCATGAGTCTTTCCAGCGAATCAGAGGATTCCCAGAAGGGGGCGTCGGTGGTCAAGCCCAGGGGAGCCCCAGGGGGGACGTGTCAGGAGCAGGGGGCCAGCGGGGCATCCCAAAGTGGCAGCTGGGCGTCAGGACCAGCCTCCCCGCCAGAGTGCAGCGAAGGGGGTGGAGGTTTCAGTGTATCAGGGGAAGCGGCTCCGGCAGCAGAGAAAGGAGGGAGGTCGGAGCAAGCCATCCTCCCAGAAGGGGAGGGGAGCAGTGAAGGGAGTAGTGTAGCTGTTGAAAGGAAGGTTAGAGGTTGGGCGCGCGCGCCAAGTTCAAATGTAGAGGCGCGCGGAAGTACAAGGAGCCCGGAGGAGGGGCCAGGTCCCAAAGCCCGCAGGAGGGGGGGAAGAGCAGTCTGATTCCGCGTCAGAGGAATCCAGGAGGGGCGAAACCCCAGCGGGCAGAAGGACCCTGCGGAAAAGGAAAGAGAGAAAGAGGTGGAGCAGCGCAAGCCTCTTAAACTGGTGCAGGGGAGGGACGGATTCAGAGGGGACTTCAGCGGTCTAAGCGTAGGAGACGTAGGGCTGTGCGCCTAGGATGTCAAGCAAACAATGAACTGCAATAAACACTCTTGTATATAAGAAGACATAGGCGTTGGTCTTTTGTGAGCTGAGACTTGAGGCAGCCCTGACATTAGTATTATTGTTATTTATTAAATCTGTATACCTGGAGGTCTCATGGTGGTTCGCAGGATAAAGTCACAATACAAAATACATAATCAAAATGTGCTTTGCATGCAGACGGTTCCAGTTTCAATCTCTGGCATCTCCAGGTGAAGGTTGGGAGAGGCAGCCTGCCTGACACCCTGGAGAGCTGCTGCCAATCAGTGTAGACAACGCTGAGCTGGATGGATCAATGGACTGACTCAGTATAAGGCAGCTTCCTATATGCTACTCTTAATACTCCATTTCTTGCTTTTATTCAGGCTTCCTCAACCTCGGCCCTCCAGATGTTTTGAGACAACAATTCCCATCATCCCTGACCGCTGGTCCTGCTAGCTAGGGAACATGGGAGTTGTAGGCGAAAAACAGCTGGAGGGCTGAGTTTGAGGAAGCCTGATTTTATTTCTCCTTTGGCAATCACACCTTTGTTATTTGGGCTACTTCAGAGGCGTAGGCCGGGTATAACGTACGTGAAATCTTTAAACACTCCAAAACTCTCTGTTAAAAAAGCAATGATTTGCTATTATTATTGCTTGGTAAGAATAAAGGAAGGGGGAGCATGAAAACAAAAGCTGCATTGATGGTAAGTTTAGGATCTTCCGTCGGGATGCGGGTGGCGCTGTGGGTAAAACATCAGCGCCTAGGACTTGCCGATCGTATGGTCGGCGGTTCGAATCCCCGCGGCAGGGTGAGCTCCCGTCTTTCGGTCCCAGCGCCTACCCACCTAGCAGTTCGAAAGCACCCTTAAGTGCAAGTAGATAAATAGGTACCGCTTTATAACGGGAAGGTAAACGGCGTTTCCGTGTGCTGCGCTGGTGCTGGCTCGCCAGAGCAGCTTCGTCACGCTGGCCACGTCACCCGGAAGTGTCTGCGGACAGCGCTGGCCCCCGGCCTCTTAATTGAGATGGGCGCACAACCCTAGAGTTGGACACGACTGGCCCGTACGGGCAGGGGTACCTTTACCTTTAGGATCTTCCAGAACATCAAGAATCAGTCAAAGCAAGGAGGCAACAATCCCAAATACGCTACAAATCCCTGGTATGAAACACACCTTATTTTTCACCTTGGCAGAGCAGACAAGATCAAAAGGGTATAGCCAAGAGGTATAATTTTCTCCTCTTCTGTCAGATCCCCAAATGTTAAGTGCGCGTCCTTTCCCAGCAACTCCCTTACAAAAGGATGAAACGATCAGCAATGAACTTCAGTCTATTAAATGTCACCCCCCCAAAATAGGTAATTACTATATGCATATTAAACTGAAGCAGTCCTTTCCTGATGAGGTCCCATTTTTACTAGCAAAAGTATTACTGAATCTTAATTGGCAAGGCAGCGAAACCTCCTGGAGCTATAAATCAAAGAAGGACACCCAAATTTTTACCAAGTGCATGCTGAATCTAAACACAACTGCGTTGGTTTTAATCAAACGAAATCAGACAAAAACAAAAGAAACGTTCTTTCCCGAAGAATTTGCCAAAGGGCGTCAAATCGGTTCTCAGAGAGGTGCGAAAATATTCAGAGACATTAATCGGTGCTTGCAATGCAAAGAATGTTTGGAAAGACTGTCTGGGGCAGCCTTCCAGTAATCAGGACCGATGAAAGGAGGAGGGAATGTCTTCCAGTAGAACAGTCCAGGTTGCTAATGGACAGCATCTTCCAACTGTGGAGGGCTGAAAGAGAAAGAAGTACTGAGCTCTTACACATTGCTTGGAATAATGGACATTTCATAGCCCAAAGTCAGTGTCTGAGTGGGGCTTGTAAAGGTAAAGGGACCCCTGACGATTAGGTCCAGTCGTGACCGACTCTGGAGTTGCAGTGCTCATCTTGCTTCATTGGACGAGGGAGCCGGCGTACAGTTTCCGGGTCATGTGGCCAGCATGACTAAGCCGCTTCTGGTGACCCAGAGCAGCACATGGAAATGCCGTTTACCTTCCGGCCGGAGCGGTACCTATTTATCTACTTGCACTTTGACGTGCTTTCGAACTGCTAGGTGGGCAGGAGCTGGGACTGAGCAACAGGAGCTCACCCCGTCGCGGGGATTCGAACTGCCAACCTTCTGATCGGCAAGTCCTAGGCTCTGTGGTTTAACCCACAGCGCCATCCGTGTCCCTGAGTGGGGCTTGTAGACCTTAGTAATATATTCTCAGTTGATGATCTGTTATGGTAGATGTTTGACCACGTGGCTATTGGAAGTGAGCGCCTAGTGAGCTAAGCCCCAGTATGGTGTAGTGCAGGGATGAGGAACCTGTGGCCTTCAGATACTGGGACGTTAGTTCTCACTGTCCCTGACCATCAACCTTGGCTGCTGGGACTGACCGGAATTGGAATCCAACAACATATGGAGGTCCATACATTTGCCATCCCTGGTGTAGCAGAGAGCATGCTGGAACTGGGACTTGGAAAGGCCAGTGTTGAATTGACTGTGTAAATTTGAAACTCTCAGGGTATCTTTGGATGAGTCACTATTTCAGGAAATGCCTTCCATATCACGTTGGATAATGTTGAGTACCAGTCTCTGGAAATTGCGGAAGGGGAGAGTTCAGGTCTTCCTTGAGGGTTTCCCATGGGCTTCTGGCTGGCCACAGTGGATTGGCGGACTCTACTGTGATACCTCAGGTTACAGACGGTTCAGGTTACAGACTCTGCTAACCCAGAAATAGTACCTCGGGTTAAGAACTTTGCTTCAGGATGAGAACAGAAATTGCACAGTGGCAGCGGGAGGCCCCATTAGCTAAAGTGGTGCTTCAGGTAAAGAACAGTTTCAGGTTAAGAACGGACCTAAATTTCTTAACCCGAGGTACCACTGTATTTGGTTTGATCCAGCAGGGCTGTTCTTGTGTTATGATTAAGTCAAAACCTTCATGGAAGGGGTGGGTTTTGAAGGGAGAAGGAAGGGTGGCACCACATAGGTGCCCTGTGAGGACCTCGGGAGCAGGAAGGGAGAAAGGGAAAACATGTTTAAGAGAGTAGAAGATTTTAGAGCAGCTGGGAGCAGCTGAGTTGCAGAAGCAAAGGTCACAGGCAAGGTTTCTTCTCTGCTTTCCATTTGTTGTCCCTCCGGGTCTGCTTTTCTTTTGGATTGCTGAGAGTGAAGAGGCCAGTCTCTTCCATAAAACACTGTGCTTGTTGAAGCGCAGCAGTTACATAACAATGGCCTGTGCTCATTAAAGGACCCCAGTTCTCCCCCAGTGCTTTCCCACTAAGGGGATCATCGACAGAAAGAAATGTCCTTCCCCAATACCACAGGATTTTTATTTTCTTCTGTTGCTTTTAGGTGAATCATTTTGCGATGTCAGCAACACCTGGCCTGAAACTACCGTCCTGTAGAGGAAAGATCAAACACTTTCCCCCTCTACCGGCAAGGAACGTGGTTATTAAAAGGTTTCTTGAGTATAGCTTGTCCCTGTCAGAAATCGAAGGTCATAAAAGAGAGAAGCCAGGGTTTATTTACTTCCACCCTGCTGCTCTAATTAAAGGGTCAGTAGCAACCCAAGCGCTGCGGCCCCATTTGCCTCTCTCTATAAACCTTCACAATTTATTCTGAAAAGTGAGCGGAATGGACACAACATCCTTTAGCTGGTGATCAAAGACTTTGAAAGATCAGCAAATTTGCCCACTGTTATTTGCCCTCCTTCTCTTTGCTTCTCTTGGGAAAGAATATTTTACAATTAGATTAAGTAGCTGCATTTAAATAATAACCAAACACCTGACCTGAACAGAGGGGAAGGGCAGGAAGTGACCCCCCCCGCAGCAATGTGCACTACAGCGAGAGTTCATTAATCATCTTTCTTTTTAAAAGCTTGATGTAGTTTTTAGTGTAAGTCTTTTTGAAAAGCAGCAGCAGTAGCAGCAACAAGAAGACTGTAGTTGTTCAAAACAGGAAGACTTGATTACCAACAGAGCTGAAGGAAAGCTATGTACCATTTCATCACAAATGTTTTTGGAACTCCTTGCAAAGACACCATTCATTTAAAATGCCTTTATTTGTCCTCACTGTCACTTGCCTTCAATGACATCATAACATAACCAAATCTGATTGGTTGTATCAATCCACAAGGTATTTTTTATATTTGATTGATATTTAATGACATCATCACATTGTGACATCCTACTCACTCTGGGCAGCTGATTGCGATGAGAAACACCTGACATTAAACCAGTTTTCTGTAGCAAACACAGAACAGGTGGTATGAACACCTGATTAGGAACCCTGGCATAATCAGGTTACCAGATCTTTAATAAATAATAATAATTTATTATTTATACCCCGCCCATCTGGCTGGGTTTCCCCAGCCACTCTGGGTGGCTCCCAACAGAATATTAAAAACAGGATAAAACATTAGACATTAAAAACTTCCCCAAACAGGGCTGTCTTCAGATGTCTTCTAAAAGTCAGATGTTTATTTCCTTGACATCTGATGGGAGGGTGTTCCACAGGGCAGGCGCCACCACCGAGAAGGCCCTATGAATAAAATGTGTATACCTATTCATGTGACATACATTATGTATTTGTTAGGGAAAACACCAGTGTTCTATGCAGCAAGCATAAAGCCTGGAGCTGTTCATAATGCTTCTTGATTGGCAAGATTTCCTAAAAATGAACGAAAAAAGCAGCTGGTAGGAAAAGCAAATGGTGCCAAATAGCATTGCAAACAGTCAAACAATGTATCCCCCAACCCAACGAAACATTTATAAACCCCAACCCTGCAAACCACTGGTTAACATCTGATGTGGCCGTAGTTATCAAGGAAAAGCATATTATATGTTATTTGGACTGGAGTATTCATAGGTACCCAAATCACCTTTATATCAACAAAAGAGTTCAACTGTTGACACTCTTACGTTTAACAATATGTGTTGCGGTGGCCAGCCAGGGGGTGAACTCCAAAACTTTTTGGACTATCATGCAAAAAAAGTGCAACACCTTTTTTGGGGTCTGGATTTTTACCTCTGGAAATATCGCAACCCTAGCATAAATGATATTTATTAGTGTTCAGTTTACCAATAAAATATTCCCTCTTTAATTTTTCTGGGCACACATCTCTTAAGGCCTCTTGCTCAGGCACTGCTAAAACCGACAATCGCCTTTCAGTTCACAGCCAGGTGACTTTCCCTCAAAGAATCCTGTCAACAATTCCCAGAGTCCCCTGGGAAAAGCTACTCTGAGAACTATCGGTCTGTGCTGCGAATTGAGGTTGCCTAACAACTCTCAGCACCCTTAAACTACAGTGCTCGGAAAAGCCATGACTGTTTAAAGTGGTATTAAAGGTAAAGGGGAAAGGGACCCCTGACCATTAGGTCCAGTCGTGGCCGACTCTAGGGCTGCGGCGCTCATCTCGCTTTACTGGCCGAGGGAGCCGGCATACAGCTTCCGGGTCATGTGGCCAGCAGGACTAAGCCACTTCTGGCGAACCAGAGCAGAGCACGGAAACGCCGTTTACCTTCCCACTGGAGCGGTACCTATTTATCTACTTGCACTTTGACGTGCTTTCAAACTGCTAGGTTGGCAGGAGCAGGGACCGAGCAACGGGAGCTCACCCCGTCGCAGGGATTCGAACCACCAACCTTCTGATCGGCAAGTCCTAGGCTCTGTGGTTTAACCCACAGCGCCACCCGCGTCCTAACACTCTGTGAGGTGAGTGGGGCTGAGAGACTTCAGAGACATGTGACTAGCCCAAGGTCACCCAGCAGCTGCATGTGGAGGAGCGGGGAAGCGAACCCAGTTCACCAGATTACAAGTCCACTGCTCTTAACCACTATACCACGCTGGCTCTCAAAGTGGTATTATACTACTTTAAATGCACAGTCCGGATGGGACTCAGAACTTTAGAATAAAGCCCATTTCATACACAGCATGTGCTCAGATGCACGTCTGATGATCAAACGCTCTGTGGAGTCAACCTCGCCGGAGCAACCCTTCCAGCAAAACGAAAAACCTGTGCCTTGTTAAACTGCTGACGCTCTGTCCTTTTAATTAAAAACAAGTTGGCATTTACAACCACACACAATCAAGAAATGGAAGATTTTACAACCTCTTTTTTTTTTTTTTAATCTCCCAACAAGTGGAGGAGGAAAAGATTGCCTGTTCACCCAGGAAGATCACCCGAAGAGAGGGCAAACACAGCCCTGTGTGGGTTTTTATAGGCAGCTGAGCTTTCCCTTGTGTCCCTGGTTTCCTGTGAATTGCTGGACCTCCTGACCATAGGCATGTCTGAAGTATGGCTAATCACCGATTTGCCAGCCGACGAGCACCAAGCTTATGCAGGCTTCTGTATAATAAACCGGCACTCTAATAGCATGTTCCAGATCATTTTCTTCCATTTCTGCTCATTTTTGAGCTCCCCTCCCCTCCACCTCTATCTAACATGCATCAGCTTGTACAGGAATCACGCTTTGCCCCCATGATACCACTTGAATGGCAGATGGTAGGACTGAGCAGAAGTGAAAGGCCTGCATTCACTGGTTTTCTTTTGATGCGCTCTGGCTCTTCACGTTCCTGCTCAGAGGGTTGTGGATTTCAGTTTCCACACAGTGCCAAAGTCTATCATGTTTTAGAACCAGTTCAGTCTTGAGAGCCCAAGTCAGGTAGTTCTTACCATTCAGACGTTCCATCTGGGCAGTCTTGCCAAGATTAATAAACTGCGCAGGTTGCTGAGCTGACACGGCTTCTGCTCCTTGCTGCACCGGGTCTGCTTCTTCGGTACACGGCCTCACCACTGGACCTTCAGTCCCTTCGAGGTCCTCACCAACAGCACCCTAATTCTCCAGCTTTAGCAATTCGACATCCATAAAACTCTGGGCCCATAACCTGACGTGAAGCGTAAATTAATAATGCAGAGTTTTAAAGAATAGAAGCTTTACTGAGTTAAAATAAGCTTCTTCATAAACAACATGGTTCCAAACAGTTTGACTGAGATTACATACTGACTCTGTTCATGGCTGAAACAGACAGACTCTGCTGAAATCTTACAGAGAGCACAAAGTGAAACTGGCTAATACGTCACATGTCAGAGTGACTCAACAGTTAGCAGTTAGGCCTGAATAACTTTAGTAGGCCCAAATGATTGTGCAGTCCCAGCACTTCCCAGCCTGCTTCCGCTCTCATGTGTCTTTGTCACATGACATCTTTTGCCTTATAGGTTATTTACTGGCAATAGCATAGGAACCAACTCCTAGGGGCCAAGGTCCCTTCACCCCCACAGTAAAACATTTGAGGGGCCCCACTGGCCAGACACCCCCCCCAAAGTCAATGGGCATTGTCATTCACCACATCTTGTGTTTGATTATGTGGGGCGGGGCTTACCTGGGCCCCCACAATATTTTGTTCAAGTTGGCACCCCTGTTCCAAGGTAAGTTTTTTGTTTTTGTTTTTTTAAAAAAGTTTTCTTTCTCCATTTCTGCAACTGTAATCTGGTCAGATTTATTAACACCTGAGTTGCATCTTCTAAAAAGGGTTTTCTCTGTGAACCGCCCTGAGATCTTGTGATGAAGGGGTGGTATATTAACCAAACCAAACCAAACCAAACCAAACCAAACCAAACCAAACCAAACCAAGAGCCTGCTGGATCAGGGCAGTCGCCCATCAGCTCCAACATCCTGTTCTCACAAGTAGTCAACCATAATACTGTGGAAAGCCTGTAAGCAAGACATGAGTGCAACAGGACTCATTCATTCATTCATTCCCTAAACAGAGCTTCCTTCAGATGTCCTCTAAAAGTCAGATAGTTGCTTATTTCCTTGACATCTGATGGGAGGGTGTTCCACAGAGTGGGTGCCACTACCAAGAAGGCCCTCTGCCTGGTTCCCTGTAACCTCACTTCTCACAGTGAGGGAACCATCAGAAGGCCCTCGGAGCTGGACTTCAGTGTCTGGGCTCCTTGGTATAGTCAGGTATAGCTCCTTCAGGTAAGCAAGACATGAGTGCAACAGGACTCTCCCCACCACCTGCGATTTCCAGAAACTGGTGTTCAGAGGCCTGCTGACACCAGTAGTGGTGTTATGGGTAGGACTAATCAGAGAAAGGCTGTGGTGTCATCGTACGGCATCTGCTTATCAGGGAGAAGGTATCAAGTTCAATCCCCAACATCTCCAGGTAGGACTTGAAGTGAATGCTGCCTGAAATCCTGTCAGTATAGAGCCTAGGGCTTTTCTTCAGCTAGAGCTCAGTTCTGGTGCCTCTTAAGTGGGCGCAATTGCCATTCTGAGAGAACAAGTTCATGCTGAGCTCTGGCACCTCTTTTTCTAGAAAAATAGCACGGGTAGCGCCTAACAAGCTAGATACATCAATGTTCTGACTCAGTGTAGGACAGACTTCCTATGTTCCTATCTTGTTCCTAACCTGGGTAATGTTAGCTGGGAGGTGGCAACTGGCAAGCATATATTTTCTTTGGCTGGGCTCTAAATCTTCCCCTCTTTAACCCCTGGCACACAAATGGAGATGATCTTGTTAATGGGAAATTTGAGCCAGCTCCTCAGCTGCTAGCGATCGCTGCTTCATTGACAAGAGCAGCCTGGCCTCCCTTCTTCCAAGGCAATGAATGAAAGCCAGCAGCAAGAATCCTCTTGCACCCCAACCTAATTTTCCAAGAGACGGGTGTCAGCTGCTGCTCTGCCATGCATTCACAGCTGAAGGTTGGCTCTTCATGCCTCAGTAAGTGATATTGGCTGAGAAGGCGGCTATTTGGCGGGTATCCTGGTTCGCAGGCATAATGTTAGCGATCACATGGCTGGTAGGAGTGGAGCTATAAAATGAGCAAATAATTTTTTTTAAAGGTAACCGTCTGAGGGTTGCAAAATAGTGCAAATAATGGCATATTGTCTTAGTGTCGCCCAAGTTCACTCTTCAGGTTATTGGCTCATGGGGCCACCGTTGTGATTGTGTTGAATAGGGTTGTCAAGGGAAACTGAACGAGGAAAAGTGTATTGGACCAAATTGTTGTAGGACTCCAATTTTTGCTCATCTACATTGGCTTCTGGGCTCAATTCAAGTTGCTAAACAGCTTGGGCTGTCTTGCACCAGGGAGAGTCATTTCCCTGAACTATATCATATCATTGGGAAAAAGTAATCCAAGTTCTCCAGATTGTTTTTTCTCCCCCCCCCCCGGAAGAACTGGGAACTTTCCCAAATTTTGTAGAAAGTAATATATATGATGCAGAGACCATAGTGAAGCTAAGCAGGCCTTCTCCTGGCCAATGACTAGATGAGAGGTCTCATTGGGAACCTCTAGCACTTTGCTCCATGGAAAAGACTTGGGGCTTTCAAATTCCAACAGTGACCTGTGTGACGTCAAAATTTGGTGCCTTCCATTCTACATCACTGAATGCAGCACCTCCCATGGCATCCTCTTGGCTCGGCACACAGTGCGAGGAAAGAGGCTACGATTCCCTAAATCCACCCAGTGGCGGAGCTTCATGCTCCGGCACCAGGTGGCGGAGAGCAGGCGGGGGCGGGGCTGGCACGCATCCCAGGGCCATGGTGCGCCGCCTGTAGGGGCGTGGTGCATGTCCTGGGTGCGTGGTGTGCCGCCTGTAGGGGCGTGGCACCCAGCACGAGCGGGGGGCAGCCGCGATGGCACCCCACCAGGATCATGCTGCCGGGGGCGGTGCAGTCTCCCTGCACGCCTCTTCCTCCGCCAGTGAATCCATCTCTGTTGGAATCCACCCCTTAACTCCAATATTGTCTGAAGAGAGTACAGTGGTACCTTGGGTTACAGACGTTTCAGGTTACAAATTCTGCTAACCGAGAAATAGTACCTCGGGTTAAGAACTTTGCTTCAGGATGAGAACAGAAATTGCTCGGTGGCAGTGCAGCAGCAGCAGCGGGAGGCCCCATTAGCTAAAGTGGTACCTCAAGTAAAGAACAGTTTCAGGTTAAGAACGGACCTCCAGAACGAATTAAGTTCTTAACCCGAGGCACCACTGTACAGAGAAGTGTGCATGTAGACAGTAACTTACTGTACAAAGGTAAATGTTATGCATGGTTCACTTTGCTTCTATCCCCCACCTCACAGAAGCTCACCTGGAGGGGAATGTTTTCCTCAAACTGAAAATGGTAGTCACCCCTGACCTAGCTCCTAGGCCTCACTCACTGGATCATCACCTTGTCGTGGTGAGTGTGCTTGCACATTCCTATGACCCTTGTGAGCGAAGCCGTCGGGAATCTCATAGTCCCAGCAGGGTCACTCAAGGTGGTAAGGTCAAAGGGAAGGAGATAGACAAAGAATCATCCAAGAAGTCCTCAATGGCAGAACAGGCGGATGATAACAAGCGATGTGTTACAACGGCTGTGAAGGCAGATGAAGGCTGCAGCAGATAAGAATGTGCCGGTCGTCGTGACTACTCATGCCATTGGAACAGAGCCATACTGTGAAGACGTGCACCGTCAGCGTGCACTGATCCACACATATAAAACAAATCCACACACAGGCGTCTTCCAAAACCCATCCCAAACCCAAACCCCAAAGTCCCATGGCGATCGGCAAATGGTAACGGGGGAAGGAGTGTGAAATCTGGAAGCCCCTAGTAATGAACCGGCACTTGGATGATGGATAACTGTGTTTATGGAAAATAATCTTACTCGGCTATGAGTGATCGCCAAAGAAGAAGAAGAGCTCCTAGGCACCTGAGGGGCTGATGTGAAAGTGTTTCAGGTATCAGAGAGAGGCGTGGTGTTGGGGGGCGCCCAATAGCATAGACAGGAGAAGAACTTTTGAGAAGTTTTGCACTGATTTTGTTATACAGTCAAGCATTCCTAGCGCAACCTATTTATATTCCAATGCAGGTAAGGATGAATTTTGATGACATCACTAGTGTGAGCCAGCCCCAGCTCAGAAAGCGTTAGGAGACCCCGTTGGCAAAACAAACCAACCTTCGGAAGGTCTTCCCGCCTAGCTAATAATTAATGTCTCGTTTGAGAGGGAGGCAGGAATGACTTCTTTTCTTATGCACAGACTTCCGATCTGAGGCCTGCTGAAAAACCTCATTAGCTTGTCATTGCCATTGCTTTTAGAGGCCTCGCGCTATGTGTCCCCACCTCCAGCCACCTCCACCGGGCTTGCAATTCCACCAGGTCTGTGGCCTAACAGATGGTCCCAACTAATGAAAAGAGCCCTTTTAATTAGCTTGTTTGAAGATGCTCGCTCACATTGGTGGGAGATTCCAATAAAGTTTCGGTGGCCGGGCTCTCTGTCGCTGGCATCCAGCAGTTGCCATCTGCTTAGTGGCAGAAAGTGGCAAAGGGGAAACCAGCCGCATTTCCCCCTTCACTGAGCTGGAAATAGGTTTTAAAGGGTGTTGCTGCAGAACCTGGAGGGGGAGCTGGGTGGGCTGGGTGAGAGGAGGCCTCCAAGGGGCTGCCGGCAGCAATCTGAAAGCTGTTAAAACCCCTCCTTCCGGAACCAGGATTACAACAGTCTATCCTGCCATCTCAAACAATAGCTTCTCAAAGCTGATTTATTTATGGTGTTTTTAATAATAATAATAAAGTACATCTTTTGACATATTTGCTATTGCTCTTACTGTTGCCTCTGCTACTGGCTTCTTAACCTGAACATTTTTTTCTTTTAAAGCGAGGGATTCCAGCTTTACTTAATCTAAAGCAGAGATAGGGAACCTGTAGAACTTCCATCTTTGCTGATCACTTCTCATTCTATCTGGGCTGATTCAATTAGCATAAGAAGCTTGTTGGATTTCACTGTTTCTCAAACTTGGGTCTCCAGTTGTTGTTGGACTATACAACTCCCACCATCCCTGACCACTGGTCCTGCTAGCTATGGGATTATGGGTGTTGTAGTCCAACAACCGGCACTCAGAAGTACTCAGAAGTATAGCCATCATGGCAAATAGCCATTGATAGTCTTCTCCCACATGAATTTGTCTAATTTGGGGAAATGAGGGGCACAACGTCAGTCTGCCCTCAGCCAGCCCCCACTGAACTGCCTTCTTACTTGTATATTCATTTCAGTTCCTGTCCTCAGTCTCAACACTGCCTTTGCAGGGAGGAGGGTGGGTCCAAAACTAGAATTCTGCCATCTCTACCTCTCATTGGCTGTGGTCTCACCTGTCACTGCTTCTGGCTCCTCCTACCATTGGCCTACTGCTTTAAGCCCCACCAGCTCCAATGGGCACCAGTCACCATAGAAGCCAGTCATAGGAGCCAACTTCTAGGGGCTTAGGTCTTTCAGTCCCTCCCCCCATAAAATATTTGAAGGGGCTGTGGCATAGCTGTCAACTTACAGATTTGAAAATAAGGGACCAGCAGCCTTGAAAATTAGGGACCAGCAGCCAAAATAAGGGACCTGCAGCCTCACCTGTTCCAGGCACTCCAGTCTTCCTGTCCTCCTGCAGTCTGGTCAAACTCATGCTGGTAGCTTCGAGAACACTGTCCAACCAACTTTGTAACCAGAGGTTCAACTGACTAGAATCTGAATCACATGCACCACAAGGCCTATGCAGCCTCAACTTAAGATGGCTCCCTGGCCTGGCTTTGCACTGCAAAGTTTGCAGCAGCACATGCAACAACATGGCGTCCAGCATTCAACACCCCCTCAGCTTGCATTAACTAGCCACACACACGGCATGCAAGCTCCACCCCCCAGTCGTTCTTAGACTTCTTATTGGGTGAGCAAGACAGCCAAGCAACACAGTTGGAGCCTCCCTCCTCTGGCAGGGAGGGAGGGAGAGGAGCCGCTTCCTTTGAAATTTAAGGGACATCATTTAAGGGACATTTAAGGGACATCTATCAATAAGGGACAGCAGCGGGACATGGTGCTGGAATAAGGGACTGTCCCTTCAAATAAGGGACACTTGACAGCTATGGGCTGTGGGCCCTTGAAGTTGAAGGACATTGTCATTTAAATGGTGTGTTTGTGTGCCACATCTTGTGATCGATTATGCAGGGCGGAGCTTACTGTTCCCCCCATATTTTATTCAAGTTGGCACCCCTGAAACCAGTCCTGCGCTGGCACAGCTTGTGCTGCCTGAAAATTCCATGAGCCAGTAATGTACGAATTAGGACTTTAAATTTGAAAGGGCTGTTGGAGGAAATGTAATTTATAGTAGAATGGCATGACAGATCAGGTCTCTGGGACCTAGTGTGTTTATCAATATGCTTGCAACCACCTTCCTTGTCTGTGATCGGTGTGCTCCTGCTTTCCTTTGCAATGTTTTTTTTTTTTTAATAATACCCATGTCCCTTCCCTATGATTAAGGTTTAGTATCTTTAAATGGGAATTCCTAGGCTCTGGACTCTGCTGGGTTTTATGTGCTCGTAAACTGAGCACGCGCAGCTTTGAAGGCAGAGTGAATTAAGGAAAAAACAGCAACAGCCGATGATCTGTATAGTTCACCTTTGTCTGGTGCTGTTGACTCTATCTCTGTACCTCAGACCACAAACATGGTAATAAAAACAGACGCCCCCTTTGCTTATAATGGCGGCCATGTCAAAATAAGTGGTTTGCAACCCTTTATCATGGCAGCCTTGACTTCTGGGAAGCAGGCCGGTATAAAACTCCTTGGCTGGCTGCCCAGAGCCTTGGTGGAGCCTCTCCAACCAGGGCTGTTCTGAACAGATCATTCTTAATATAGTGAAGTGCCATTGTCTCAGGGTAGAAATATAAGGTGTGATTTATGCACCTACTTAGCTTGGCTTAGGCCCAAAGTTGATGCGACACTTTTCATGTAGTTCAGAATTCTGTCACTGGGTTTCGTTCTAGCAAGGAGCAAGTGTGAGGTGAGGCAAGGGCAAGATCGTGGCCATGGGGAGAGGTGGCGTTAAGCCTTTGCCTGCCCCCATCAAGTTTCTGATCAGAATTGGTGCGGGGGGAGGCGGGCATTTATACTATTTGCAATGGAAGGAAAACTCCTGTTAACGCCGATGGGAACTTTCATCCAATCACCAACAGCAGGTATGTGGCTCCCCACCCACCCCACTGTTCTGATCAGTAGTATGTTGGGGGCAGAGGGTTAGAGCCAGTGTTCAAAACTGAAACATGAAATCTAGGAGCTAAATGGCACCTTCAACCTAGGTTATGGGAGCAACAACGGAATGTCTAGGTCAGGGGTAGGCAACCTAAGGCCCAGGGGCTGGATCCGGCCCAATCGCCTTCTTAATCCGGCCCGCGGACAGTCCAGGAATCAGTGTGTTTTTACATGAGTAGAATGTGTCCTTTTATTTAAAATGCATCTCTAGGTTATTTGTGTGGCCTGCCTGGTGTTTTTACATGAGTAGAATGTGTGCTTTTATTTATTTATGTGGTCTCTGGGTTATTTGTGGGGTATAGGAATTCGTTCATCCCCCCCCCCCCAAAAAATATAGTCCGGCCCACCACATGGTCTGAGGGACGGTGGACCGGCCCACACCTGAAAAAGATTTCTGACCCCTGATTTAGGTACACGTCTTAATAACAAGAATACAAAGCTGAAAATGAATGAAATGCAGCTAAAATAAGTTCATTTTTTACATGGTGTAGTCCATGCACCCCCCCAAACTCGGCCCTCCAGATGTTTTGGGACTACAATTCCCATCATCCCTGACCACTGATCCTGTTAGCTAGGGGTGATGAGAATTGTAGTCCCAAAACATCTGGAGGGCCAAATTTGGGGATGCCTGGTCTAGTCCTTCTTCTGCCCACCCCCCTAATATTCCTAAAAGGGTCTCTTTTCAGAGAGTAGCTGGAAGTAGGGAGGCAGGAAAAGGTCCTCCTCTGCAGTTTGAATTTGAAATCTTAGGTGCAGTACTGCGCCTAGAGCTCAGAAAATGCTCGCGCTGATGAAATTCCCTGTCGCAAAATGCGCCTAGAGCAATGGGAGTTTCGAACACTGGTTAAAGCCCCCGCTCTCACAAGTCTAGTTCTTGATCCATCTCTGGCTCTTTGTTAAACAGAAACAAAGCTGGGCAACCCAAACTACAGTGGTGCCTCGCAAGACGAAATTAATCCGTTCCGCGAGTGTCTTCGTCTAGCGGTTTTTTCGTCTTGCGAAGCAACCCTATTAGCGGCTTAACAGATTAGCGCTATTAGCGGTTTAGCGGCTATTAAAGGCTTAAAGGCTTAGCGGATTAGCTGCTAAAAGGCTATTAAAGGCTTAGCGGCTTAGATAAAGGGGGGGAAAAGCGGAAAAAAAATCTCAAGACTCGCAAGACATTTTCGTCTTGCGAAGCAAGCCCATAGGGAAATTCGTCCTGCGAAGCAACTCAAAAACGGAAAACCCTTTCGTCTAGCGGGTTTTTCGTCTTGCGAGGCATTCGTCTTGCGGGGCACCACTGTACCATGTTAAAAGTCATAGAATGGAAGAACGAGGAAATCCCAA